CCGGGGACCGGCTCCTCAGGGTTAGGTTGTGCCTGCCAGGCGGTTGGGCCTCCCCCCTCCTTGGGTTAACCGCCTTCCCCTCTCCCGTCCCTTCACCCATGTCATTCTTCTCCTCATCGCCTTCTGGGGGGGCGAAGGGGTGCCCCCCACCCCGCACCCTGGCTTCACATCACGTACCCGCCAAGCTCTCCCATCGGGTAAAGCGCTGCCCCCCCTCCTTCGTGACCCACCGCTCCCCTTCCTCTTTCTCCTTCGTTTTGCCTTATTTTGCACATGACCCTTCTCAGCCCCCTCTGCAGGGTCTGCCCCGTGCCCGCTGCTGGAAGAGAGTGGCTTGTAGGACGGCGTGGGGGGTGTGTTTGTGAAAGGGTGGTGCTGAGTGAGGTGGGAATGCTTTGGTTGCTTTGTCTGTTTTATTTTGAGACCCCACACGTGAATTTCCCTGTTATAACTGCCTGGCTGTAGTGCTGGAGACTGAGATTTAAACTCGGGGATTTCTGAAACATACCTAAATTAAACGTAATAAGCGCTACATTTTGCTAGAAGTGTTCTATTTCTTCACTGAGTGAAATGCTGCTTTCAGTTCATCATCCCATTGTATTCCCAGTGTCTATCCTATGTTGTAAAATCTGTATATGTATGTTTTCCAAGAATTAGTGCTTTCTGTGAGCTCTTTGAATCAGTCAAGCAAAAATCTGTAAGAGCTGGCAATCGAGGATTTAGTATTTGACTGGTGGAGAGAGGCCTTGAATTGCTACAGTGAAGCCTGAGAGCTGTAAACTAGCATCATCAGAGGCAGGAAATTCACTGTCTGAGGTACTCCAATAAGCAGATAAGTTAAACCAAAGCTCAGGGTAGATAACGATTGCCATTTATGGAACAGGAACGCTAAGTTTTGAATTACTGCATTTCTGCATGTAGTTGCTCAGTGACCTCTACAGAGGGCAGAAATGAACTGGTTTAGAGTTAAGATTTTTAAAGGGAAATTTTTAGTCTCTGTAGACATAAGGCCAGCGTGTAGGTACCATGGTGACTGGTGCTCTATAAATAACTGCAATGGGGATAACACATGCTCCAGTTGAAAGGCACTGAGCTGCTGCATACCTGGAGAATGTTGCAAACAGGAACTCTCCTCATTTCTCAGGCATGAAGAAAGCCTACAATAACTGTGAGTGTTTTTTAAGTATTGCCTCTCTTACTGCAGGGATGAAACAGAGATACTGTTGGGAAGAGAAGCTAATTAAATATGAAATACTGTGTTATTCTGAATGAAGAGTAGCTGATGTGTGTGTACCCTTTGCTTGGTTAGTGGGAATAGGGTTTGGTTTATGCTGATTTAAAATATGGGGTTTTTTTATTTATTGCCCTGTAATTCACTGGATAGATAAGATGGCTGCTCTTGAGAAACATCCAGACCTGAGACTCCAGCAGTACAATCCATCAGGTAAGGAGAGTCCTTTCTTTAAAGCCCTGCTGCTGTTAGATCCTGTTGCAGTTTCTCTGAGGAGACATGTGGCCCTGAGAAGAGTTCTTTACCAAAAGCTTTTTATTAAAAAAACAATGTCTTATGCCTGCAAAATAAAACAATTGCATGGGTATGCAAGGGTAGAGAATCCTTTGATAATGAACCTATCTCTTGAGTGATAACTGATAAATGGGGAAGAGTTCATAACAGTTAATGCAAAAATGTATCTTTAATTTAACCAGTTTTGCTGTGTGCCAATGCTGCTGCTCTTTTTCTTAGTCTGAGTACCAGAGTATCAGCTGGGTGTAATATCACCAAACTTATAAAAGCAAGTATAACTTACTGCTTTTGCATTCTGCCTTCCATAACAAGATTGATTTTTCAGTCTCCCATTGATATTATTTGGCTTCCCTGTGCTTGCTACCATTTCCTTTTCCAAAAGAGATTTCTTTAGCAGCGATACTGGGAGTCAAGCAAGGATCAGTGTGGGTTTTGGTAGCATGGGAAATTAGGTATGGCCTAAGTATATTAAAAGGCCTTTCAGTCTGTTGGCTAAAACATAAATAACCCTGAATTTTTCTTTCCAGATCCCAGCACCAGTCAGAAGAGTAATTTCTTGGAGACTGACTGGAAGACACCTATGTTGTCTGTGAAGTTCCAGAGCCGTGTCAGTCGCTGTTCAAGTGTGGCCGACAGCGGGGATGGGGGCATTGGAACCTCCTGCTCAGACAGCACAGAAGGTGATGGTCAGCATGAGATCACACAGTAATAGCCAAAGGCTTTAAGTTTCCTTAGATCAACAAGCATTAAATAGCCTGATAATACTGAACCCTAGAATGGAAAAAAAGCTTGGGGAGAGCAGAATCTGTAATAATGTTTGGAAACTATTTCAAAACCAGTGCCTCAGTACACAGATATGCTGCCTGAAATATAAACAAGTGATTAAGGGACTTGCTGTTTCTTTAAGCTAGTTGGGTGATCTGCAAACTGTAGTAAGCATTTTTAACTGACTAAAAGAGCCACCTTGGTGATTTGCTGGTTCATATTGACCTACAAGTGATTTATCAGAAAGTCTGTCACATGCTTTTTTAAGAAATAATTTATAGGTGCCTCTAGAGACTTCAGATCACTATGCCTTTGTGTGTAAGTCTCTTCAGTGTTAGAGCTCCTTTCCTCTCACTGAAGAATGCTGCAGCCTTGCCCTCAGCTGAGGCATGTTCTGTGAAGTTGCTTGTCCCAGCAATCCTTTCCACCTGTATTTTCATCTTCACTTGTGAAAGTGTCATAAACCATTACTGATTCACTGATTCTTCTTTCAGCAGTGAGGAATTTTTTGTTGTTCTTTAAAACAATGCACTTCACACATGCATGTGTTTCACAAGCTGCCCTGAGCCTTTTGAATGAGCTATAGTTCTTAATAATGTGTGAGTTGAAATGAAGGCTTTTGATAAAGTCTGGCTTGTGGAAATATTGCTAGAAATATTACTAGAGCACATGTTTAAGTGTCCCATCTAGCCCCTGTCAGGATAGTAAAACAGCCAGTTGCATGCTGAGGGCAGGAGAGATAACGATCGCTCTTTCAGAAATTGCCATTCTGAATGTCTGTAATGTTGTAGCCATGTTTGCAAGAGCTGAGGCTGAATTGTGGCATGACAGCTGGCTGAAGCACGCCGACTTTCAGGTCAGTACATTAGTCAGAAATGTTGTGATGACCCTTAGCACAGCCAAGGAAACGATTGCAGCATCTGCACGTGGCGTGCTGGTCAGAGAACTCGAGTTCCTGATAGTGATACTGGGCTATAAATTTAGGGGCTGTAAAAGGAAATTGTACTGTCTCTTCTGTTTGCCAAGGTGAATGTGCTTGTGACTGCTTGGTAGCATGGTGTTCTCTGGAGTTCCTAGGCACAGCCAAGTAACATCTAAGATTTTCTCCCCTTCCTGCTCATTTTTGAGGAGAGGGTCTTGTGTTGTGCCTTTATTGTGATAGTTTTCCTGCAGTTCGATAATGGTCTTTGCAGAATCTGGTTTCAGTCATATTCAAATCGTAACCTTTTATTCCTTCTTGTAACAGTGCTTTGAGGTTACAAACAGGTGGAAGGGTGACCTTGCAGTCCTGATGTTGGATTAAAGAAACATCATGTGAGGATGGGCCTTTAGCCAAACCCATGAAGGAAATGAGTTTGTGTATCTGGGAGAAACCTGGAATTGCTGCGATACACAATGTATCGGGACAAGGAGTGGGAACAGGCACTGTTTGCCTTTCTCAGCTCTTGCTGTTGCTGTATTGAAATCTGAGAGTTGCTAAGAATAACCCCGTATTTCCATGTAGCCAGGTTTGGTGCCTTTCTGACAGGACAGGCACACGGGCTGGGGTGCGTGCGCTGAACTCTATCTCATTTCCTGTGGCAATAAGGCAAGAGCCATTACTCTAACCTCTAGAAAAAGCTCTTTTGCTGCAGTGTCCTGGAGGAGTTCGAAGGTCAGCAGCTTGGTGATCTAGTGTTCAGCTATGTTTGAAGCTCATCATGGGCTTAGTGAAGGCTCCAGTTAGCTTTGGTTACGGTTCAGAGTCGCTGAGCTGTGGGACGGGCAGAACAGAATCAAGGTCTCAGTGTTCAGCTGAGTAAGTTTCAGCCTTTTTATTCAATTTAAAGGACTTGATTTCTAAACCTATAGAAAGATAACCATATTGATTTAAGATTATACTAGAGTAGCTTAAAAACAAGGGATTAAAAATGTGTACTGAATTAAACTTGGATTCTCCCTTTGGTTTATGGTGGTAGGAAAATGTCAGCAATGTAGTGAGGGGGAATATAGGTGTGCCTTAGTCTTGCTGTTGCTGCTTAGGAGGACATGTTCAGGGGGAAAAGAATCGGGTTTTTTTAATTCTTTCTGAAAGTTCAGCAGAGGGGTAGCTGTTTGTGTCAGAATATTTTCAGGATTGTAATTAGAGCATCACTCTTCTTCTTTCCCTAGACTTCTGCAATTCCAGTAACGGTTCCTCATTCCAGCCCATCAAAACCCAAGTGACCATCCCAACAGCCCATGTTATGCCTTCTACGTTGGGTGCCTCGCCCTCCAAGCTGTGCTCTGCAGGAGACCAGAGCTGTTCCCAGAGTACTTCAAAAACTGCTGTGCCAGGATCTGCTTCTGAACACACAGGGCTCATGAGAAATGGAGATTTTAATGCCGGGAAGTCTTCTCAGGTGCCACCCAGGGATCTCTTGCGTCTCTACGGGACTTCAGGGGAAAATGGTTTTGAGCAATCCTGGCATCCTGTTTCTGATCACATGAGAACAGAAGATACTTGGAAGTTTGACACCCCTGCCATTGAGCACACCCTTAACCAGTCTCTCTTTCTGGATAGTTTGTGCACTGACCCTCTCCGCAGGTTCCAGAAGTTCAATCCAAACTCTGGGGCAGCTGAGGCAGGAAAGGACCATTATAAGGTGCTGCCAGAGAGTAAGCAAGTGGCAGGGGCTAATGGTGTCTGTGAGCCCCAAGACGGAACATGGCCGAGCGGGAGCAGACTGATGCCAACGGGACTCCAGGCCAACAATTTCTTTTCAAAACCTGTAAATCCTTCATCTCGAGCATGGATGCAAGAAGCCTGCACGCTACATCCGCACGAGAGCGTCTGCGAGCTTAGTGCTTGGAAACAGCAGCTGGAGAAAGTGCGATTGCAAATAGAGCAAATGCAGGTAGGGAGCTGCTTTTGTATATATGTATGAGTTTGAAACCCTTCCTGTCACTTTAGTCATGAATCATTGTCACAGACTTTTGAAGCAAGGAGGAAAATGTCTCATGCTTCTCCCTGTCTTACACCAGAAGTCTCTTAATGGTCTGTTTTTACAGCATGTGGTGTCACAGGTATCATTTGACACACTGCTTATGTAGAGCAGTCCTGTATTATGTTACAGCACTGCACAATGGTTCAGATCAAGAGGTGAAATATCCTGTCTGCTAGAAACTGCAAAGAAAAAGCATGTCAAGAAGTTCTTAACAGTTTCTAGAATAACCATATTCTGTATCTAAAGTTAGGAAACAGACTTTTTTGAAAAGATGCATAAAACTAACTGCAGTTTATTAGATGGAAACAGTTTGTTTATCACCTCCAACCAGCTGTACCCTAATGGAGACAAATTGTTTCCAGCAAGCTAGCATAGTGGTCTAAAATTATTTGTTAATCTCCAGTTGTGCTTGGGCAAAGTTACTTGTTCTTGGACATCGACGCAGACTGAAATAGCTATGTCCTGGCATGCAGATGAGCACACAGTGTGCAAAATAGCTCTAGCAATGTTGCAATTACCTCTGTGGAGCACAAACCTTTCGCTCCTCACTTTGTCTCCTCTTTCAGTTACAAAATGGAGGCGTCTGCCACCATCCCTCAATGTATTCTGCTTCGCTGCCTACACCTGATCCAGCTCAGTGGATCAATATCCTGAACTCCAATGAAAACCTACTCAAGGAGAAAGAGCTCCTCATTGACAGGTGAGAGTTTGATCTCGACATGTACTTTAAGGACTCCATTTCCTTTTGGAAGGGGAGGGTTTTGAAAGTACCAAGGAAAGCTTGTATCTCAGAGTCCCTTTTACCTGATTGAGCTTTTTTGTTGCAAAGAACAATATAATGACCTTTGAGAATAGCCTATTTTTTTCATGAGGTCTCGTCTCCTTCCTCTTGGATCCTGAGGGATTCAAATAAATCCATTTTGGTTGTGGTTTTCTGTGTTTTATAAGGGATAAAGATTTCTGGTTACATCACGATTATTTGGAATGTCAGTACTACTGCCTTTTTGCTTGAGGACTTTCTGGGAGCTCTTTGATATCTTTATTTTAAATTTATTCTTTGTGAATTTGGGCTGGCAAACAACACTTCTCATACCCAACACTAGTGGTCCATTTTCAAAAAAGTAAGTCCTAGTGAAAGCTACCTTCAGCATTTGGACTGTAAACTCTTTTTCTGCTTGCTCATTTTGAGTCCTCTGATGTCTGTTCATTTCGCTCATAAGCTCCACAGCCACGCTGGATCCTCCAAAGCATGCAAGGCTTGTGTGTTTTATCTATAATCATTGCTGGGGGGGAGACTTTGAAGGGAGGGGAGGGAAGAAAAGTTAATACCAATTGTAAAAAAAAAAAAAAAAAAAAAAAGTCACAGTGAATGTCTTGCAGATTTCTCTGCAGTGTTGCAGAGTTGTCTTTTTATTCTGCTTGTCACTGTACAGAGCGTTAGAGATGTGGCACTGTTCCTGTTGTATTGCTCTCTGCTACCATTGAAAACAAGGTGTATGTTTGAGACTGGTGCATTACCAGTTTTTTGTTTGGTTTTTTTTTTTTTTTTTTACAGACAAAGACAACACATATCCCAGTTGGAGCAGAAGGTCCGGGAAAGTGAACTGCAGGTTCACAGTGCCCTGCTTGGCTGTCCGGCACCCTATGGAGATGTCTACATGTTGAGAATGCAGGTAATTGGGTGCAACAGGGTATCAGTAAGAAATATGTATTGAATCCAGCAGGCGTTTCTCACTAGGCATTTCCTGAATAGGAGGGCTATGCAGAGTAAAATTAACCTTTGTATGGGGTCCCGGTTACCTGTCATCTCTGAGATCTTCTGTGTGTCTTGAGATTTCAAACCCTGAAGTACTACGGTTTGTTTAGAAGCTGTGCTAGTGATGCAAATGCCTGACAGCACTGACAAATGCTATTTCAGATACTGCAGCATATAAGATGGGCTGAATGATGTTTGGGAAGTAGGAGGGCTGAGGACACAGCTCTGAGACAGCGCAGGTGCTTAGTGCCAGTTTGTAACTAACTGAATTCATAGGCTGTCTCTGTTTGCAGGAGCTGCAGCGGGAGAACACGTTTCTTCGAGCACAGTTCACAGAGAAGACTGAATCCCTCAGTAAGGAAAAGATTGAATTGGAGAGAAAACTTGCTGCTGCAGAGGTGGATGCAAAGCTGATCCGGGAGTCACTGAAAGAAACTATGCAGAAACATGCGGAGGAGTTAAAGAAACAGGAAGAAAGGGTATGATCCCATTGCTCTAGAGGGGGGAGAGTGTTTTTTCTTCAAGAAGCTAAAAGTCAATATAGTGCCTAGGTGAAAGTTTTCTGTGGCAATGTGTTATTGTAGGTATTTTCTGATGTCCTTGTAGAATTTTTTGGTTTATAAGCAAAAGCCCTTCCTCCTGCAGTTAGAAATATTTCAATACCTCTTCTTTTAAACAGAGAAGAAGCCTGTCTTTAAGTGAGCAGAAATGCTGCTGAGTTAAGGTGATCTTGTATTTTGATGTTGAGTGCTGTACAAAAAGGTAAATAAGTGGGCTCACAGAGGACTGAAGAATGGACAAGAACTTATATAAACTAAACTTTTATATAACTGTCCCTGCAGGTAAAGGGAAGAGACAAACACATTAATAATCTCAAAAAGAAATGCCAGAAGGAATCTGAACAAAACAGGGAGAGACAACAGAGAATCGAGACCCTGGAACGATACCTGGCTGATCTACCAACCCTTGAGGACCACCAGAAACAGAGTCAGAAGGTAAAACTTCCTCTGAATTGTGATGACAGCTCTTCACATACTTGCTCAGATGACTTTTCTACAGCTGCAGATAATAGCCTGTACAGCTGCCCAAGTAAAGTTGTGGTCTGGCCTTCTCGGAGGAGGAAAGTTCTGAGCTATAGCTGAGAACTGTCACATAGGTAGTAAAAATCGGCATTGCAAATGTAGTTGAAATGTGGTGTGTGTTCTGAAACCCGTGGGAGATCTCTAGAGTGTTATGATGGTCTTTGTTGCAGCTGAAGGAATCTGAACTGAAGAGTACTGCTATGCAGGAAACAGTGCTGGCACTGGAAACAGAGCTTGGAGATGTCCGGGCTGCTTTCAGGGAGCAAGAGATGCAGCTAGAAACCCAAAAACACAAGGAGCTGGAGCTTCTTTCCACTGTGCGCAGGTAAAAATCAGGAGGATTAGAATAAACTTCATCTTAGCACTGAAGTAATTGCAGCACAAGAACAGTGATGATTCAGCACAGCCACTGTCCTGCCTGTCAGAACCAGATTACCGTGGATTTGTGATGATTATGTTGAATGCTCACTAAAATACCGTGTTCAAATTCTGCATGCCAACAGGGGAGGGTGGGAGCAGAACCACGTGGCTGAAAGAAAGGGGGGCCCTGTTTTGTCACCTGGGTTTGTCTGTCTCCTCAGGTTATTGCTCTCAACCATAACTCCTTGCAAAATGGACCTGTGTAATCTGCAATCGTTGTGTCTCTGCAAATGTGCCAATATCATGGGGAGGGCTGTGTCCAGGGAGAGGGACTCCTTCTGTCACAGCCCTGGCAGTTTGCAAGCTGGGATGCAAACAGGGCAACACTGGCATCTGATATGAAAATCATTTGCTGCCTCATACTGTTTAGTGATGGGAACATCCTTAAATAAAGCTGGTTTTCACATGGTGTTCTGCTAATTTCAGCTTGCAGGACAAGGTGCAGCAGTGTGTAAAGAATGCAGAGAGAGGACCCTCTGCCCAGGATGGGGAGAGACAGAAAATAGAAAATGACTCTCTGAAGAAAGAATGCGACTGCCTCAGAAAGGTAACAGGCTGTGTCAAATGGGAATCACACATTTTTCCTTCCACTGAGTCACACCGGGCACTAAGATGGAATCAGGGACTTTTGCAGTTGTAGGCAGTCACAATTGCACTGAAGCAGCAGTTCCTGGAATTCCCAGCTGAGGGGTTTTAGAAGCATAACCATGCACTCCTACAGTAACACTGGAGAGAAGTTGCAGAATGCAAAGAGGGGAGAGGAAAACCACAAGAATGCAACTTCTCCAGTCTGTTTTAGCTGATACTTCTAATGGTGCCTTTTATCAGGTGCCTTTCATCAGGGAATCTAAGTCCACTACTAGCAGAAGCAGTGATTAAAGTAGTAAATGGGCAGGAAAGAGAAGGAGAAGGGATGCTGGCCTACTAAAGGAGAAATCCTGGTAGTATTACTGAGTCTGTATGACCAGTTCTGATGCCTCTGCTTTTGATTCCAGATTGTGGACAAACAGCAGAAGAAGATGGAGCAGTTGTCCTTGCAAGTAAAGGTGAGAGGTGACTGCAGAGAGACCTAGAACTTGAGAATCTGCTGTGAAGTGAGTTAGACTTACTACTTTCCCATGGTCTGTTCTAGAACCTGGAAGAACAGGTGGCCCAGGAAGAGGGGACAAGCCAAGCTTTGAAAGAGGAGGCGATGAGGAGAGAAAATGCACTGCAGCAGCTCCGGACTGCTGTGAAAGAGGTCAGAGCAGGAGTGTTTAGAGTGCTCGAGCATAGCAGTTGAATGAACAATGGATTGTCTTTTAGCAAGACCCTTAATTTGCAGTCAGCAGCACAACCTCTCCTGATTCCTGCTAGTCAGTTGCCCTGTCAGTGCTCTGAAAGGAGCTCTTTGCTCAAAAGCAGGAGGAGAAAGGCAGTTTCTGCCTCGGGAGCTTCAGCTGCAGCTGCTGGATATGGTGGAGGATGCTGAACTTGCCAGCTGGGGGCAGCAAGGCGGTGAGCGGGAATCCAAACTCGACTACAGCCCTGGCTGAAGGGCAGGGCTGAGCCCCACTCTCAAGCCTAAAGGAAGCCAAGCACAATGGCAGCCCTTGAGGGAAGGGATGGCCAGTGTTGGGGTGAGCGGCCAGTGCACAACCTCCTGGAAGCTTATTTTGTTGCATCATGCCTCGGCAGGGACAGTGCAGTGTCATGGGGCGCTTCCTGTCTGAGCCAGGAAAGCCAAATGCTCACACCTCGTAGGACTGATGCTTGCTTATCTGGCAAGAGTCTGGAGGGCCTGATGTAAACCAGATCCTCCTGCCCTCGGTGCTCCCATCATCATCGAGCAGTTGTGTTAAGTTGCTTTAAGTTTGCTAGTTCTGTACCAAGTGACCACTAACCCGCTGTGTCCATTTGTTCAGCTTTCAGCGCAGAACCAGGATCTCATTGAGAAGAACCTGACCCTTCAGGAACGACTGCGGCAGGCAGAGCTAATAACCCAGCCCCTGCCTGCTGAGACAGCCCGCCTCACCCAGGAGTTGCACAGCGAGCTGGCCAGTTGTCTGCAGGATTTGCAGTCTGTCTACAGCATTGTCACTCAGAGGGCTCAGGGCAAGGATCCCAACCTCTCTCTGCTCCTGGGCATTCGCTGTAAGTGTGCGGAGTGGTGGCAGAGCAAACCTTTTGTTCCTGTGCTGTGACAGAATTAAATAACTCACATATAATATAGCATGGAAGGTTCTTATCTTTCTGGGGTTCTGAACCTTCTTTCTGTGGTTAGCTAACTCTAAAGGTGCATGCTGTAATAACTAAATGTTAAGTAGTACCTCTTTTGCAAATGTGCATTGGGTTTTTCTGGCTCACTTGCAAATGTGTGTGATCCTTCGTTAGAATTGCATGTGAGGTAACTCCCTTCTCTGACTCCACAGCTGTTCAGTACTCCACTAAGGAGAAAGATGACTTGCTGAGCCCTGATGGACTTGCAAAGAAACTGGTGGAGGTAAAACAGCTTCACAAAGAGGTGGAGGACTTAAGGACGGCAATATCTGACAGATATGCTCAGGACATGGGAGACAACTGCATCACCCAGTAATGAACACTTCCCAAAGTAAGACAGGAAATGAAGACTTGAAACCCTTGGGAGTCTAGAGCTCCTACAACCCAAAACCTATTCAGCACTTTACCATCCCTTTGCTCGGGTACAAGATGTGTGACTTATCCAATCTGTGAGAAATCAGGGGTTTGCTGCCAGAAGTGTTTAGCTTCTGACTGGCTAACTGGAATCGTTCAGGGCTTCTGTGTCGGCCTTTGCAGTAGCTTTGATCTTGTGGAATGTGTTTATGCTGTGTTTGCTGGAGCTGGTGTGGTCTCTGACGCTGTGAGATGAATTCTGAATTGCCTTTCAGGCATGTCAAATGCTGAACATGCAAATGTGACAGTTAAAATCATCACTAAAAGGAAATGTATGCCCTGGTCTTTCTGATAAATTCTCTGCACAGATCCTGTGTGACTAGTAAGACCAGAGGATTATCAGAGAGTTCAGGGGATATCTGTGGACTTCACAGGCAAGCAGGTGTGCCAGTTATACTACTGCTAATTACATCAAGGTGCTACAGGCTCCTCAGATGCTGTGTGCACAGTTCTGGCTTGGATGCTTGTGTAGCCATTCATGGAGCAGGACCTGCTTTCCTCAGGTAAATGCAACTGGAGTCTTTCAGTAGCCAACAGGAGTTGGAGAATAAAGCAACACTAAAAGAAGACTCTGAAAACGCTCCCCCTGGGCACTGTTACCCCAGAAGCCTTAAGCCTTTTATCCCCCCAAAATAGCATTCTGAGTGTGGGTATGATTCAGGCTGCAGAGGAAGTGGATTGATGCTGAAGTGCCTTAATGTGCTAGAGGAACCTCCTGTCCCCACACTGCTTCGTGCCTAATGTATCTGCTGGCAGGGTGAGGAACTGCTGTTTCTCATAGCAGCCTTGAGAGCCATCGCAAACCATACTGGGGAGCCTTGAATGTCTGTAACCCCTCCCAGAGCTGCAGAGAGCCTCTGTGCCCCCGAGGGACCCTGCTGCAGGCCAGCAGGGAGACACACCTCTCCTTGGCTCTCTGCTTGCTGCTTGATAGGGAGAAAGCTATTCTGGTCCTAACATGGCAGGGTGGTACAGTTGGATCCGAGAGCTCTACCTGATGCCTGCAAGGCAGTGACCACTCGGGCTTTGTTGTAGCCTTGCCCCTTGTTCTCTGGGAGCTTCCTGCTCTTCTGCTAAATAATGGGATTTCTAAATAAATCAGCATTGGATGCAGTTCACTTTATCACAACCCTCCTTAACCGTAGTGGCAACTTTACAGTCCTGAGTGCTTGTTTGTGACAACGCTGTGGTGCTGAGGGTGGAACTTTTTTGGTTTTCAGCTTGAGTTAAGAGCAAGATACTATGTTAGTTTTGTAACAGGGGGGAGAATACTGCTGAAACTTCTGCTGTTTGGTTGCTCATGGTTCGTGTTGGGGCTGTGAGCCCTAGGTTTGGGAGAAATGTGTTTGTTATTCTTTTGTGTTAAAATGTAAGACCAAATCTGTTTTGTTCTTAGCGTTTGGCCACCACAGGTGTGATGGTGGCAAAAAATTGGTTAGTTTGCTGTCCCAAGTTACGCCCTGCATGGCATGGGGAGTGAGTGCAGCAGCGTCTGCTGGGCAGCCGGCTGTCTGTCCTGTTCTTTCCGCATCTGGTGTATTACATTTCTGGCTGTTTCTGTTCCCAGGCTGCTGTTGCCACGTACTGAGCTAAATGTGGGCCAAGGCTATTTCTTGAAGTCATTTGTCCTGACTGCTAGGAGCTCTCTAGGCACTGGGGTGCAGAACAGCACTAGCTGTGAGAATTGCGCTCTCCTGCAGGTTAGCAGGGTGCTGTCTAGCACCATCCCCTTTCCCCGAATTCTCATTGGGATGCAAGATCTAGTTCCCGGGTGCTGTATGGGGACACGTGTGCCCTCTGCCACTGCAGAGCTGGCTGTGAAATGAGATCGTGGCTGAAACCCCATCTTAGCTGATGCTTGGAGCCTCATGCCTGGCCCGGTCCCAGCAGCTGGGGCTGCCCGGCTCGCATGTTCCTCTCTGCGAGGAAATGTCCTCTCGTCATCCTCCTGCAGAACTGGACCCCTCTGGCTAAGATGGTGATCCCATCTGCCGTACGTGACTGCTGCTCTCCAGGCAGGGGAAATCTTGGACCTTTCTTTACAGAGCACCCCGGAACGGGGCAGCAGGGCCACCTTCCCACCCTGCCCCACATGCTCGCCCCGCCGTCTGTCCGCGTTGGGCGCAGTGTATTTCTACCAGCCTTTGTCTCACCCGCTCGTTTGTACTGAGTATTTTGAGTATAAAATAAAGCTGCTCTGCTCCACTCGTTCAAAGCGGTCCCGTACGGATGGGGGCGGGCTGCCCGGGCCGGGCCCCGCCGACGCCGCATGCCCGGGCCCGCCGGCCCCATTGGTCCCCGCAGTCACATGCCGGGCGGCGGCGGGTCCGCCCGTTCCCTCCCTCCGAGCCTCCCTCCGCCGGGCTGAGCGCAGGGGAGCGGCCGCGATCGCAGCATGAGCACCCTCAAGGTCTACAGCACCTCGGTGACCGGCTCCCGGGAGGTGAGCGGTGGGCCGCGGCGGGGATCCGGGCTCCGGCGGGGCAGGGCTGGGTGTCCCGGGGGACCTTCTTTCTTCCCTGGGGTGGGCGTCTCTTCCCCGTGGAGCTGCGAAGCCCCCGCCCCATCCCAGATGCCCCTTCCTCTGCTCACGCTGCGCCGTCCCCTTCTTCCCCCGAAGCCATCCCGCCGTGCTGGGTGTCCCGTCCCCCCCCACGCGGGACCGAGCCCCGTCCGTGGCCAGGTGGGGTCTGGACCGTGGCCCGTAAAGAGCGGTCGCTCCGTGAGCGCTGTGCTGAGCGTGGCTGGCACGCAGGGGTGGGTGCCGGCCCTTCGGGCTCCTCTCCAGCTCCCCATAACCTGCCTTTCCCGCCCGGGTTCCAGATCAAATCCCAACAGAGCGAAGTAACCAGAATCCTCGATGGGAAAAACATCAAGTACGAGCTGGTGGATATCTCCCAGGATAACGCTCTCCGGGAGGAGATGAGGGCGAAGGCAGGCAATCCCAAAGCCATCCCGCCCCAGATTGTCAATGGAGATCACTACTGCGGGGTAAGGCTCGTGCTCTGCGCGGGGGATAAGCACCACGGAGGTTGAGCAGTGGGCAATAATCCCATCCCCTTGTTTTTGCTATGAATGATGTCAAGATGCCTTTCAAAAGGCATCTCTTGTAAGATGCACAGACAAAGTGCTGCTGGGGTTAACGGGCATTTGGAGCATGATGGCTTGCGAAAAATGGGACCTGTGCAGGGGAGCTCTGGGTGACCCGTGGGCGGGGAGAGGGGGCTGCACTGTGCAGGGCTGTCCCTGCTTCGCCCTGTCATCCTCCACTCGACTGACTGGCACCAGTGCTGTGAACCAGTTTGTGCTGTGTGCTCAGGGGGGACCCCGCACCGCCTGACTGGCGGGAGAATACAGCTCACCCTTGCCTTGTGAGCGACCGTGTGGCTTTTCCCTGCAGGACTACGAGCTCTTTGTGGAAGCGGTGGAGCAAAACACCCTGCAGGAGTTCCTGAAGCTGGCCTGAGCCCCGGGCTCCCCTCCTGTCCTGGACTCTACCTGCATTCCTGAGCACCCTCATCTCCAACCACCTTCACTTCCAGGTTGTCAGCGCTATCCTGGCACCGCGACTTGTATCCCAGCACCGGGAAACCCATGACCAAAACTACTCATTGCAGCTGCCTACAATTCCCTCCTGCCTAACCCTGATATCATCTCAGAGGGATCCAAAGAAAGTCTGACGCTCACTGCGCACGGCCTTTGAACAAAGCTGGGCCTGGCTCACACCGCAGCTTCCAGTGCCTCTGTAAACAGCAAAGCCTCTGGGGCTGTGCGAAGTGCAGCCGTCCGTCAGCCCTCTCCTCTGCAGGGAGAGCTTCTGCTTCAGGAGGGAAGGGCTTAGGGTTGCATGTTACTTCCCACTTCTACCAGCTGCTGTTAAAATTGTAAATCCTGCTGCCTCACTACTTTTTTTTTTCTTTTTTTTTTTCATCTCAACTGCAGAGATTATGGCAACTAAGTCGATTTTTTTGTTTGTTTGTTTTAATTTAACGCAAAAATACTGCACAAAGCTGGGGTCTGACCACCCACCGCCGAGAAGGCTGGGGCTGGAGGCGAAGGCCGGTGTCGCTCAGCAGGTTGTCTGGGGGGATGGATGGGCCTAGAAGTGGGACCTGGGCTGCTCTGTCTGCCCTCCGCCGCGATGTGGTGCCAGGGCTCCCTTGTGAGCGTTAATGGCTCAGGGCTGCTCCGGAACAGCTGATGCTCCAGCTGTCTTATCTCTCCTCTTTGAGTGGGCTTTTTTGCAACCCGGACCAAGTGCATTTTGTTTTCCTGCCAAAAAGCAAGTTTATAACCAGTGTTGTCTTCCGAGATGCTATTAAATGTTACTGTACCTTTCACATCGGTACTCGTGGGTTTCTTTTAAATTTGGTTTTATTTTGACTACAGGTTAAACGTCACCCTACATAATGATTCTGAGTCATTTCCAGCTCAGAGAAGCTGAGTCAGTTGTAGTCACTGCTGCAGCCTGACACAAAGATCTTAACACCTTAGATTGTTGCCGCCAATCAAAGGCTCACAGGACTTGTCTGAATATCCTACAGCGCGGTAGTGACAGGTACCTCTCTCAAGCATTCCTCTCCTCTGCATGGTAAGAATGGCAGCCTGGGGGAGGGACAGCTTCATCCAGACACGCAAGCAAAAAAAACAAACCCCTGGCACAAAGTTTACCTGGTCAGAGGCTACCCTATACGAGAGTCCCCTGTACGCTCCTGTATCTGCTATAGGTGGAAAAAGGAGGAAACTAACTTAGAGCTGCGGGGATTGAGTCACCGGTCATGGGGAGCCCGTGGAAACGGCTGGTTTGTGTGACATTAGTGGTGCTTCCTGTATTTGAGTTGTGCAGGGTCCAGCTCTGGTTGGAGGGGTCCGGGAAATGCTCTGGGCAGCCTGCCCCCTTTCCACAGCAACTGTGCCTTTGAAATCTTAATGGAAGTGGAAACTGCAACTTAAATAAATGTTGCAGTTTATTAGGAGCCTTTAATGAGGGCTGGGTCTCTGCTAAAAGGGAACCTGCCAGAAGGCGCTGCCTTGCACAAGTGGGAGTGTCGTCAGCTGGGAGTCAAGTGGGAGCTTGTCACAGCTGAAACAGGAAGAATGTGCTGGGGAAAGGGGCCTGCAAAGCACAGCTCTAGCCCACAGGAGAGGGAGGAAGATGCTTTACTGGGGCTTCAGCAGAGAAGCAGCGAAGGGATTATGCTCTTCTCCAATGACATGGTGTCCTGTTGCAGCATCCAGCTCCCCGCTGCAGCAGGCTGCTGAGGGAGGGAGGGAGGCTGGCAGCTTGGGGCTGTGGCAGGCAGGCTCGGTGTGGCTTCAAGCCTGGGCCCCGCTGGAGCTGGGGGCTGTCCAAGGGAAGGAGTTGTTCACGTACAGGAAACCCAGTAGCAGGATCTCCTGGCTGAGATGGGTCTGGCTCAGTCCCAGCATTGCAGTGGCTCAAGGCCCTTTGGTTTAGCTTCACCAGGGACCATATAATTGAGCCTGTTTCTCTTGTGGTTTAAGTGCTGTTGAAATCTCTGGGGAGCAGCTGTGTGTGGAAAGCAAACGGACCCTGGCTGTTTGTCTGTCCTGCTGCTATAGAGAATCCCTGAGCCCAGCTAAGCAACTGCCCAGTACCAGTGTAAAGCTGGCGGCCTTCCCTGAGTAGGGATCAGCCTGTGTAACCTTCAGCAGAGATAAGAAACGAGGCTGGGGGTTTGAGCTGACAGAAACGTGCCCCCCCAGTGTTGGAAGCCCACCTGTCTTGGGGGAAAAAAACATCCACCCGCGAGGCAGTAGGACTGCGCCTGGCACCTTCTGCCAAAGGGAGAAGCCAAACCGCTGCCTCTGAGCTCTTCTCTCTGTCCCAGGTAACGGCGCAATGAAACTACATCTGGAAAGACACCCCTCTTCTCTCTTCCCAGCCAGGGGAGGTTTATAACAGCTAACTGTGCAAGGCAGCTCCTTCCTCTTGCAGAGCTTGGAGCGAGCAGCTCTTGCTAGGAGCTGTTAAGCTGTTTGCAGCCCTGTCCCCTCTTGTTGGGAGGGGTCTCTTCTCCGCAGCAGCAAGGAGACGTTGGGGATCAGGCCACATTCCTGCAGGCTCCTGGAGTTGTCTGTGTACACCCGCTGGGGAAAGGTACTGATGATCTCATATGAGTCGGAGTCTCCACCCCTAGGAAAGAACAGCACAATGTTTCCTACACTCAGGATCCCCCAAGGTTTTACTGAGATGCTCTGGCTGATCCAGCTGTGATTATGTAAGAGCAGAAGGGAGAGACTTTTACAAGCACAGGCCAAGCAGAAAAAAGGACTTCCCGCCCAAACTGCAAACAGCCAGGCACAGAGCGGCCATTCCAGGCTGCACAGCTGCAGTGAGGAAGGAGGTTCTTGCATCCCAACAGCGGTGAGCTCATCGTGGGCTCAGACCAAGGCCAGACCTGCGGCCCGCAACAGGAGCAGGAAGAGGGGAGAGCAAAGGGGTTCCCTCAGCCATCTGGAACTGTCCCCATAGGGATGTGCAAGCACTTGGGCAGCATTAAATGCGTTGGGATACAGAGCTGGCTGAGCAAAGGGTGGTGTTTGTCCAGCAGCGGATCCATCAGCCAAGCGGAAGGCTGCAGCTCAGCTTCCAGGCCACACCAACACCTTGGGAACGGTGGCAATAGTCAGGCGAGTGCTGCTGAGCAGCTGGAAGGAGGCAAGGGCAGTGAATGGACCTGGGTCAGACAGCAATTCCAAGAGGACAAAAGAGATTTAACTCTGCTGCTGTGGCAGCTTTTTGGCAAAGGTGTGAACCTGGCAGTGCTGCCCAGAGAGCGTCTCTGGTTGTGGAGCCAAAGCAGCAGAGCGTGCCAAGCAGCTCCTGGGGCTGGGACTGTAACCCTCAGCCCTGCCCAGGTCAGGCTGATCTGTTTGAAATACAATGCCAGGGCCTCCAGCGGCAGCCAAAAAACCTTCCCTGGGGCTCTACAGAGCCGGGTGGAGAGCGAGGAGGGGAGGAAGTCCTAGGCCTACCTGGCGTGGGCGAGGTGTTGGCGCAGGTCCCCTATGGTCTCTGTGAAGAGCATCTTTATGATGTACGTCTGCTCCCCACTCTCAGATTTGATGCGGAGAGTGCAGATATCAGGGGCAGAACCTTCAGCCTCTTCAGCTGTCTTCACCCTGGAGTTAGAAAACCTCATCAGCTGAGGAGTGAGGGCTCTGAGCTCCACTCAATGGGCAGAGCCTCTGGGCTGCCAGGGTGATCCAAATGGGGGAGAGCCTGTGAGCTCCACTCAACGGGCAGAGCCTCTGGGCTGCCAGGGTGATCCGAACGGGGGAGAGGTGTTTTATGTTTGGAAATGTCCTCGAGATGTACAAGGCCCCATCTGACTGTGGGCAAGCAGACCAACCCACAGGCCAAAACCACTGCTTTGCTTTCACTGCTTAAAGGTGCCTTGGAAAGAGGGTTGCTGACCTTTTTTAGCTTTTTCGTTTTAGATCAGGGCTGTCTGGTAAGTACTTTGCCCTACTTTTTTGATTAAAAATAATCTGCTTGGGGTTTTTTTTTCATTAGTTATTTGGGTCTTGTCTTGCCAGAAGACTATGAGTTGAAAAGTGTTGTTAGTGTGACCTCCCACTCGGGCATCAATTTCCTGGAGGGATTCTCCCATTTAACATGACCACAAACAGCTTTTTAGATGGTTTCAAACTCTTAGGCCTTGGCTTGCTCTTGGGAAAAGTATTTCACAGCAATAAGTAGGTAACATTTTGAACAGCCTAAGTTTTTGTTAGAGATGTAAAAGATGGCAGGTTCATGATGAACAATTCAGTGGTCTTCCCAAAAATGAAACTGAGACTTTTTTTTCTAATTATTCCTAAGGTATAAGATAGAAGGGGCAAGTCCATTTACTTCCTCAACTGAAAGCCCTGAAATAAACCTTTAGTGATGAAACAGGAGGAAGATGAGCGCCTGACAGGGCAGGGATGGAGGGGCTGTGCCTGTACCTCTCCAGGGCAGACAGCCTGGGTGTCTCCATCAGGATCTCTTTGCTGCTCCGCACCCCATCAGAGCCCTGAAACCAAACCAGGTGAGCATCATCACTGCCTGCTCTGCACAGAGAGCAACCAGTGCCAGGAAAGCCCAGGAGCAGGTGCCAAAGTGCCACGTGTGCTCTGGTGGAGCCTCTCTGGGTTATGCAGAGCCGAGAGAGGCCCAAGGAGGGGGTGCCAGTGCTGTGCAGGGTGCTGAGCCCAGGGAATCACTGCTGGCCTCATCCTGTGGGTGTTTGAGGGGTCCACTCATACCTGCTGCGCTGCTCTGGCTGAATCTTGGACACTGATCGCTTCTCCATGTTTCGAGGACTTAGAAAGCTTGTTGAGAAACTGCTCCACGGAGAGTTTGGGACCTGGTAGAGCAGAGGGGAGATGTGTCCATGTGTGACCTTTTGACAAACAATTTTCCCCCAGAACAGGCTGTTTTGGTGAAATGAGAGAGTGCAACTGCCGACAGGGAGAGCTCTAACCTCCCCTAGCTAGGCTGAGACTGGTCCTCAGTCTCCCCCATTGAAGCTTGTCCCACTTTCTGGCCCACTAAATGTTTGATTGTCAACGTCAACAGTGAGCAACTGTGCAGCCTGTTCAGCACACAGCTGGGAGGCACAACAGGCAGAAACCTGGTTAGCCCTGCTGTGAACAGGAAAAACTAAACCTATGACAATTTTTACAGACTTGGAAAATTTTTCATCTTGTGAGGGTGTATTTGTAGGTGTTCATTCCTTTTTCTGTGGTGGCACTAGGCAATTACATTTTTTTACTACTTGGATAAAGGAAACATTTAGTACAGCTTCTGTTTGTGAATGGCCTTGAGATGAATGAGCAACTAGTACAGTTCTATATAAATAGGAAGATGTTGCTGATGGGCAATGCACACGTTTGGGTTAGTTATGCATGCACAAACCCACTATTTTCTGTCTATATGACTGACTGCATTTGACTTTCCAACACTGACAGGTATTGCTTACACAGACTGCTAGAGCCTAGAAGCAAAATGAGGAATCTGTGGCCTGACCTTATGTCTCATATTCTCTTACAAAAGTCTGAAGAGAAATCATCCCATATTTGGTACAGTCAAGATCAGTCTGGCTTGAAGGTGTCTGCCTTTACAGAGCGAGCTTGTAGGCGAACTGAAGGTTGTTTGCAAGCTACTCCCCCAAGATCTGCTGGGTTCCCTCAGCATCCTTTGCTGATAAAGGTGAAGCTAGAAGGAGCTTGGCCTTTCAGAAATGCACAGGGCAGATATGTTTTTGGAAACCAGCTGATCTTCTGGTCTTTTATTATTTGTCATGTCTCATTCTTTAGGAGGATTTAATGATGAGAGGACACCATGTGTGCTGCCTGGCTCCCAGCTCCTGAAGCAACACTGGGGCTACAAGCACAGGGCTCTGACCCAGAGGTGTTGCCTTCCTCGCTCGGACCCTAGGCGTTCCCCTCCTACCAGCTGGACTGCCCCGGTAAGGTTTTGATTCTCCTCTTTGGGAGTTAACTGCATTTCTGAGGCAGGTCTAAGAATTTACCTGGGATCTTGGTGGTTTCTTGCACCTCATTTGATTTTGAATGGCCAACAACTTGGCCGTGCCCAGGAAAACTCCCTGGAAGGTCCCTCTCCCGAAATACCACATCCCTTCTGTCAGTGACCTGTTGAATTAAGGCCAAACGCCATAAGCAAATCTGACTCTTGCACAAGCTTGTTCTCACTGCATTAGAGCACGATAAACCGCAGCAATGACAACCAAGAGTTGTAAACCCCAAATGAAACCAAGAGAGCTGCTTCCTTGGAAGCTGAGCCAGCTGTCTAAACTCAATGAAATGCATTTTCAGCTCCTATAGGCTCTCTAACAAAGCAAGTCCTGGTGAATCCCTCAAGTCCCCAGGATGGCCCACCCAGACCACAGGGCAGTTGTTTATCCATCTCAACAGGCACTGGGCAGCTGCTCCTTTCCATGAGTTGTAAGAAATGTACTTGGCCCTGACCTTTCCTCCGTGTCTGCTTCCACACTTGAGAATGCTCTCCAGGTGGAATGTGATGTGAAAGCAGCAGGCTAGGGATGGAGAGGGATTTGGCAGTAAGAAGCTGCAGTGGGGACTGTCAGATGGCTCTAACAAACCAAGGAAGGCAGTGTGCTAGCCTGAGGCCCCCAGCAGTGGGGAAAGCTGCATAAATAGGGGTAGTCTTTCTGTCTGGGTTCCACTTATGTTTCTCTTACACCTGGCTGGCCATATCTCAGGTGGATGTGCTCTGTGTCCGTATTTACTCCAGGTTACTGTACTGTCCTGTGGCTTCCAGATGTGGCCAGCTATGCACAGATTATAGAGAACAACAACCCCTAGAGCCTTGCACAATCCTTCCTCTTCCACCTGACTTTCTAACTGCCACACCTACCAGCTCACTCTGGCTGTCCTAACCTCATACTCACCCGTGCAGTTGTGCCCTGCTTTCTTTGTGGCAGTGGGTAGGTGCACCCCTCTGGTTGTGCCTGCTTACATTTCAGATGCACCTGAAGACCTAGATTAGAGTCCTCCGAGGCTCTCTGCCTGCTTTCTGCCTGAAAATGTGGCCTTGGCTTTTTGCTGTTTCTGAGAAATCAAAAAATGGGGCCCAAAAGAACCTCAGGTAGCCAAATCAAAAAAATTGTGGCAAAATAAACTCTGACATCCTCCTTGTTCAATCTGTTTTTAAAAGCTTTTCCAGGGGAACTGTTTGAGAACTTTTTTCTCCTTTTTGTTACACAGCTCTTCAAATGCTGCACATACCTCTCTTCTACAAAGCCTGCTATGCTCTTAGAAGTCTCTTGTTCCAAGACAAGATCCGCTGAGGCAGAGAAACCATTCAGTCCTAATGCCGAATCACTCATTTCCTGTAACGGCTCTAGCAGGTGTGCTCCCAGCCACCCTTTCCCCGAGACACACATGCACAGAATTAAGCTGCGAGTATGCTGTGTTCAGAAACCTCAAACTTAATTTGCTGTGGGGAGCATCCAGCAGATTGGTGAAAAAAAACTGAACAATTTTCTTGGGAAGCAAGAGAGCCATTTCTTCCAAAAAGCTGATGAATAGGGTTTTGCAATGCTTACCTGCAAAGGGATGCCATCTGGGTAGCGCATCTGCAACTCTGAAGGGAAATAGCCATCCATAATATCCTGCAGGCATTGCTGAAACAAAATGACAGCTCATGGTCATACCTCAGACTTCCTATCTGACTGATATATTCCTTCTGGGCTGCTCCTATTTGTGTTGTTATTCCCATGCAGAAAAGTCTGCATAAAAGACCCAGAATCTCCATCTCTAAAAATTACTACACAAAGACATACTGGTCTTTAAAGGCACCATGGGAATACAAGTGAGAAGCTAGAGTTCTCAATAGCTGCTCCTTTTTAGGACTCGGATGAGGTCACAAGCCCTATTCCTACACATGCCCTTTTCTGAGGCTTAGTGAATGATAAGAGGATGGCTCTAAGTCTAATTCCTCTACAGACCTTTCCATACCTGTGTGGATGGGTCCTCATAGGGCCGAAAGGGTCCGTTGAACATGACCATCCCATTTTGATACAGCATAAGAGGGAGGGGTTCTGGCTGTCTCAGCCGAGCACCCCCAGGCGTGTGCTCGATTTGAGAAATGCCTTCTCCAGCCAGCACATTCAAATCCTTCACGTTTTCCAAGATTAAATCAAAATCAATCTGGTGTTTGGAAACAACTGCTTCACCTGTGGCAGAGGGAGCACAGTTACAGGGGGAAGGGGATGCCAGCTAAGCAGCTTTCACCTTTGTGTGAATTTGAGGTGCATTTGAGTCCTAACATTTTTGGGCTGTCTGTGCTGCCTCTCCATGCTTTGCCTTTCACGCTTTTGCAAAGCATGGTGCAACGCTGCTGCTGTGGTGCAGTGCTGCCAGGTTTACATGGGTGTGTGCAAAAACCACAAGGGCAGGGCAGCAGGGAAACAGCCCTGTTGCTACAAGCTAATGTAACACCAGAGCCAGCTACCATGCAGCCAGCAGTTTGGAGACCACGCTCAGCTCCTGGTCTTTGGTTGTAATTTCAGAAGTGTTGTGTTGTCCCTTAATGTGGTGCTGTAAAATGCGCAAAGTGAGGGACTTAACTAGTTGGATGAACTAAATTGGATAAATGGATCAGGGCAGGCTTGCTGAAGAAAAATGCCAGTGTAAATGCAACCGGCTGCCTGCTCCTTGCCACCAGTAGATTCCTCACTCTTGCTAGGGCACTGCTGAGGCTGTTTATCGGGGTGCTTGAGGAGGGTGGTAGGGTGAAGCAGTAAAAGAGTTGTGATGGGACAGAAAAGTGAAATCAGAAGAGGAAAGAAGAGATGTAGGCAGAGCTAAAGCTTTTGGTCGTTTCTGTTCCACTTTTTTATGATGTGATGAGGGTGGAGGAAATACCGCGTTTAAAAGGTGAGCTGAAAACAATTATTTCGACTGCCTCCTCCATCTTCTCCCCTCCTGCATCTAAGGGAGGGAAGAATTAGTTAGCTAAAATTTGCATGCTGGTTAGGAAGCAGCATTGGCTGTACAGCCCAAGTATTACTCTTCTTTTCTCTGTTACCACTTCCTAAGAAGCCATTGCCAAATATGCTTGGACCACATACAGAACAATCAGGTCTCAATTAAACCACTCACATGGTGGTTGGGAGGAAAGGCAAACAATACTCTCTGATAGAGCCAGACAATATGGGTAAGTTACTACAGCTACTATATACACAAAGCATCTGATTCCATTTTCCACCCATTTTACGTCAATGTTATTAGAGCAGTCAAGCTTCAAACGTTTAGGGTATGTAAACTCTTCAGGAAGCAGCTGCTGTGAGGGTATCCTTCCAAATGGGTGAGACATTGGGTTCTCTCCTCTTCTCCTAGATGGGGCTTACAAAATACAGGTATATAAAATACCAACGTTCTGCCTGGCTTAGCTCCTGTTAAATTGCTCCATGTCTCTGTCCCTGAGGTGGACTGATGTGAAGACCTCAGCACAGGATCCCAGATTCTGAAGACCCAAATTCTGGGTCTTTGACGCTTATCTGCTCTAGGGAGTATCATACCTTCTCTAAGCATGCAGCAGGAGCTAAGATAGCTGCTTCAGCAAAGAGTGCTGGTGCTTTACCTGGCTTCCAGAGGGTCCTTGCTGGCCACTCTTCTTTGTCGTTGAGTGATTCTAAATCTTCCAGCTGTTCATGTCTCTCTCCAACCCAAATCAGCCCATAGTCATTTAGAAACTGCTGTATGAGGAAAGTTGTAGACCAGAGCTTCAGAAAACTAGAAATGGAAGCCTGAGAGTGGTCAGCTGTGACCGTTAGAAGTAGAAGGGGAGGTGAAAGAGAAGGTTTGTCTTGGGGCTCTTTGGCCCTGGCAGACAGACAAACTCATTGGCAGGGTTGTAGTAGCAGCTCACTAGTAGTAGGCAAAAGGGAGAGTGAAAGTATCTGTAGTGACACAGTAATCTCCCAAGACTGTAGTAGATGCAAAGAGTATTTCTACAGTCCTAGAAATCAAAATGAAGAGGCTTGCAGGAGGCACAAATGTTTGTATTAAAAAAACTCCTACTGCCCTGTAGCTCGCATCCAACCTGTTCTTTCTTTTCAGAGGGGTGAAGTGAAGAATTGTGATGATCAAAGTGGCGGCTTGAAAAAGACTAAGCAGCCTGGGACTGCAATGATCTCAAACCAAAGGTGTAGATGGCTTTGGGCAAGTGAAGCAGGTGTCTCACCTCCATCTCCCAGACCTGGGTCTGCAGCTGAAGGCACCTAATTTCCAGTTCCTCTGCTGTGGATGAGTCAGGAGCATCTGAAAGGGAAGACTTCGGTTTTGTATGTACAGCCTTAAAGAAGAGCTATAGATAACGTGTGTCACACATTGCAAATGCCCCAGCAGTACCTGCCTGTACCGAAAGTGAACTCAAGCCCATACGACACAGGAGCTGAACATGAGCTCTGCATGCTGGTCCCTGACAATTCAACCTGCAGCAGTTCGATAAAGATGCTGACAGACTAAAGATAGTTGTGAATGATACTGGTGAAGTTTTATGCTGCGGTAAGCTGATGTGAGTGGTGCTGTTTGCAATTATACAATGAGAATTGCTTGACTTACTCAGTCTTAAGGGACCTATTAAAAAAATGAGCAGGTGTCCACTAAAGCTGGATCCAGAAACCTAGACTAAATGGCTAGAACAATGCATGATGAGGTACAAAACATATGTTTGTGGTTTGACAGGCATATTCTTGTTCTCTGCTCAGGAAATGGAGAATTCACCACAGCTTCACGCTTACAAGGTAGTTCAGCCGATGTAGGAAATGTGTCTGTGCTCAGATGGAGAGCTGCTGGATTCCAAGTAACTGAATGGGGGGAAAGATCTTCTGTGACTCACTCAAAGCTGGGTTCAATTTAGAGTTAGACTGCCTTACAGGACAAGTGAGCCTGGACCTATAATACTGTTTGAGACTCCAGGTAGATTTTTGGTTTCGCTTAGTAGCTCTGTTTTTCCAGCCTGTTTGAACTCTGTGGTATTTACTGTTCTTTTTTTCTAACCATCTAACCATCCTCATGTATCTGTGTGGTTGGTCTATACTCATGGAAACGTAGTAACCCGTAGAAAATAGGTCAGGAAATAATGTTTTCTACAACACCAGAAAAGCCGAGTAACAGATGCACATACAAAGCGTGGATCTGCTTTGGCAAACAGTACCATGTGTGTCTAACTGATACCACTCACCAAAGAGGCTTTTGGGCTTTTAAGGCAAGGATGGCTCAGAGAGGAGGTCTCCAAGCCTGCTCTGTTGCAGTACCAGGAGCTCTGTAGCTCTCCCACAGGTAGGAGCAAGGTGTCAAGGGTAGAATAATTTTTACCTTCTCCTTTCTGAATAGCCTTCATCTTCTCTTCAAGTTCAGCAATCCTCCTGTCCTTCAGGACCAGAACAAATAATGACCTCGTTTAGTTCCTTGGCCTTCAGGACCCTGAGGCACAGTTTGCACAATTAGTCCTGGCTAGGTGAGTCAGTGGTGCACATACTCTCATGCCACTTAGAGACAGGCAAAATAAGGGTCGGAAAGGCTGTATCACCTCGCAAATATCTTAGACTCAAATGAGGGCTGGGATATAAATACACTGCTCCAAGAATAGATGAGGGACACACTGACCTATCTCCCCCTCCTCTGTCTGCCCAAGAGCTGTAGGCAAACACACAGACTCCTGCCCCTGTGCCTCCTGCTCAGGCACAGCTCATGTTCTGACCTGCATGCACTAAGTGGCTGATCTAGAAATGCAACCAGCATTTCTGCAGGCACGTCTTTAAAAAAAAAAAAGGGGGGGGGGGTAGTATTTATTCTAAGCTGCAGTCATGCAAAGTGGTCTGCTCCAGGATGAGTCTGCTGTATGAGCAGCTGTTGTTTCAGAAAGCAAAAGGAAGAAAAGAAATGTCTGAAGCTAAACAGCTAATGATATCAGTGAAAGGGTGCTGAGAGTCTTTAAGAAGTCACGGTAGGGGCTGTCCACTCTCCCACCCCAAGGACTGATAAAATTGCTCTGTTGCTTTGCGAAGGCTTGTTTGTGTAATTAACAAAGCAGGCTATAGATTAACTTGTTTTAGCCCAAACTAGGTCTAAGCAGGTGTAACACTACTGTGGCTTCAACCGTCAAAGCAGAGCACAGAACACGTTCAGTAAGGGGCAGTATTTTTACCTTCAGCTGGATTTCTTGTGCTTGTTCCTCTATTTTTTGCTCCAACAGAGTGACTTTTTGCATCATGGAGGACATGAGCTCCATGTCAGTGTGAGCTGCGCCTGAAAGCACAAATACGTATTACCTCTCTAAAATGGCGATTGGTATTGGAGGCTTGTCTGCACCATAGTGGACCCCACACAAGAATTCCTGCTCTGCCACAGCAGGTAGGACAAGGGTACCTTTTGGGCGTACTGAGTAGAAATCCCTTGGCTCCTGACTGGTGGGGAGATGGCTGTGTCACTGACAGCACACTGTGTATGCGAGATGTGGACCACAGGAATTAGCCCTGGCCTGGGGTATTGAGTCCACCAAACTGTCAGTGAGAAACTGTGATGGCCCAGAACCCCCTAATCATTGAGGGACTTTACCCTGCATATTCTTTTTCAGTGTTGTCCCCCTTGAGCAGGAGGGGAGACTGCCTTGCACTGGATTCTTTGTCCTAGGAGACAGGCTGTCATCTTCTGAGAAGAGGCACGAAGAGCATGAAAGAAAGAAAACAGGTCAGCGTTTTGGATAAGACTTCTTCAAAAGCAGGTAAAGAAATACTGGGGTTATGCTGAGGGAAAGAGAGGGCAGAAGAAGGCAGGGTGGCCCACTCCACTCAATCCTGTAAGACTAACGAGTGTATGTGGGCACTTGTTATGAGCCAGGACCCAAAGGGAAGGTACAATCTCAGCAGAGTGAACACAAAATGGGGCTAGCAGAAAAAGACCATGGTACTTGTACAGAGCATCCTGCACTGCCCAGCAAGCCAGAAAGTGGTAATATTGAGCTATTTTAACAAAAAGCACAACACTCTGGGATTAAGAGAAGCAGCAAACTTCACTGGGAGTGCAAAGGGAGTTTTTGCCCTAAGATCGAGTAGGAAGGATGTGACCTAAAATGGAACTGTAAAAATAGATGAGGCTCTAATGTGCTCTAGGGCTTGCTGAGGATGTGGAAACCTTTTGTTACTTATCTGATTTTGGACACGTGTAGGAGAGCGCTACAATCATTGCAAAATGCGTAGACAGTAAGAAAAGCCTTACCAGTGGAGGCAATGAACTTGGACAGCTCTGCCCTCTTAGTAAAAATAAAAGGAGATAATATGTAAAAATGAAACATTGGTTCATTAACTTTGGATTTGCTTAATGGGAAAATTTTTTTAAATGTAACTGAAAAGGCTGTCCAAAAAACCCTGAATGGTACATTTCTCTCATCAGCCCATCTTCCCAGTCCATATATACTTGCTTTCTGGGCAGAGTGGGGTGTTCATACTACTAAATGTGTGCCTTGTAGTAACAGTTAAAATCCTTGAGCTCCAATCTGTGGGTGCTGTCTGAAAGCACAGGGGGTGAAACCGTGGTGAGTTGAGGTGCAGTGGTGCCCGCTGCGTCGGGGTGAAAGAGCTGACACTTGTGATGCCATTGCAGCTGCAGAAAGCAACTTTCCTTTGCTTGAAACTGAGGAAACGCAAACGCGATATGAACCTGTGCGAGACATGACTGACTAATATCCCTGGTACCTGCTGGGGACCGATGTCGGCCAGGAGACAGCAAGTAAGAAATTTGGGGAGTTTTATTCGAGCTGATGTTGTTTCTGAGCCTGTCACCGTCATGTGCAGCCCTGTGAGTCCCCGGAAGGCCGGTAGCGATCAGCTTTTTGAGGGATCGTTAGCAAAAAAGGGCTCAAAATAACGGGGGTAACCGGGTACTGCCCGGGGGGGGGGCGACGTGGGTGGCAGCGCTGGGGACACGCCGGCGTGTGCTCGGGGGAGAGGACCGCGTCTTGGGGGGGACCCTCACGGTGTGTGTGTGGGGGCTCCCAAACCACGGGGGGTTTTCCCCATTTCCCCCCCAACCCCGCTGGAGCAGCACTCACCCCGCCCTCAGCGCGCCGCCGCCATCTTGTTTACAAGCGGTTGCCACGGCGACGCAGGGCCGCTGCGATTGGCTCAGCCCTGGTCACGTGGCGGGCGAGGCAGCCCCGGAGGCCTACACATCCCAGCATGCACCGCGCTGCCGCCTTCCCTCGAGGGGACGAGGGGGGACCACGGCTACGGCGGGAGGGCGCCGGCGGGGGGACCCCGGCTGGGAGCCGGGCCCCGGGACCTGCGAGGGTCCCTACGGGATCCGCAGACGTCCCGCCTGCTCTCCTGGTGCTCCCCGGCCCCCTCGGTGGGCTACCCCGAGGCCACCTCGGCCTGCGCTGCGGGTGATCCGGCCTGCCGGCCCGTGGCGGGGCCTTCGCGGCCTCCGCTGCCGGCTGCTCCCCGAAGGAGAGGAGGGATAAACCGGGGGAAGCCTCCTCCGTTTGTCACTTGAGGAGGGAGGCTCGGGCTGGTGGCAGGCTCTGTTCTGCCTGCCACTTCTCTGCCCTGCACACCTGCTGGCAAAATGGTGTGCTTTCTTTTTTTTTTTTTTTTTTTCTTTTAACCTCTGTTCACTTCAGAGTGCTTCAAAGGTTTCCTGGTGCTGGGGCGAGACCAGGTGCAGGAGCACCACACGCAGCCATGCTTCCTTTCCTCACCCACCCTCTGCACACCCTTAGCTTCAGCCTGTAGACATGCTCTGTGGCAGAGCCTGGCCCGAGGCATCACAGACTGTACAGCTGCTCCTGATTTCCTCCGCTGCTTCGTCTCCATTTTTTAGCAATGCTTTCCCTCACCCAGGCACTACCGCACGCTCATTTTGCCTCGCTGATGCGCTGAACTCCACTCGGTGCTTGCCACCATCCAGCCAGCCTTCCCTGAGCATCCCCCGTCCCACCCGCCACCGTGCTGCTCTACTCTCCAGAGAGCTTGGCCTCGCCTGTTGGAGAGGAGCAGAACAGGCTGATTTTTAGCACCTTTTATGGGACGTCAGCTGTCCCCATGAGACTTTCATTTTGACAATTACATGAAGTGCAAAAATGAACTAAATTTGGTGAAACTTTGCTGCAGAGGAGCCTTCAGCTGCCGGTGCGCTCACTGTGCTGTGATGCACTTCAGCAACACAAAACCAGACAAGCGGTGTATATGCTGGGCGCATTTCAAACCATCTCTAACCAGATCGCTTTTGTTTCCTGCTGCTGAGTCGAGTTGGGTGAGGGAGCTCAGAGATCTGCTGTGAGGAGATGGATGTTGGGGGGTTGGAAGGAAGCCACTTCCCTGATCCATTACCTGGATCAGACTACCCCAGGTGTGTAATGGAAATTCAGAGGGACAGCTTGGACACAGCTTCTGCCCTGAGTTGCAGGGAAGGAGGTTTGTTATGCGGTGCAACGCAGAGCCCTTGTTGAAACGTTGGCTGCAATTTGCAAACCCTCCCAGTGAACCAGTGGGGTTTTTTTAACCCATAATCGCTATTAGGCCTTCCTGGGTGTGGGGCACAGGATGGGGAGCCCCAGGGGAGGTGCAGAGCTCAGCCTGGGGGGTTTTCATGCTGCAGGTGGTATTTTGTGATGTGGAAAAAGGCAGGGCGAGGGGCTTGCTGCCTTTGCTGGAGATGGCAGCCAGGATGTCCCACTCAGGACTGGCTGTGTGGCTGTTCTGGGGAACCCGGGGAGCAGGAGCTGCTCTTGTGCCGGGTGATGGAGAAGCGGGGCTAAAAGGGCTGTACGGTGTCGTCCCCGCCTGGACATCCCCCATGCCATGTCTTGTACTTTCTCCCTTGCAGCATTGGCAGTGAATGCGGCTTCCCCAAATCGCCCTTTTGGTGGTGGGGCTGGTGCAGGGAAGGAAAGTGTGATTGGTGAGACAGGGCCGTCGCTGCACTTAAAGCCTCTGACTGCAATCACTGCGAGCAGATGAGGAAGTGTCACAGCACACTGTAAGTCAAGCCCTGACCATGCAGCGCACCTGTGGGCTCCTACTGCTCGCCCTGCTTGTCCTCTGCATGGTAAGAGAAACCCCACGGCGCGGGGCCCAGCAAAGGCCGGAGTGTCCAGCCAGCTCTGTCCTGTGGGCATGACAGCAGTTGGGGAGGCTGTAGGGTTCAACCGGTGGGAGAATTTCTGCTGAACTTCAGCTGTAAAATTGAGCATTTGACTTTCTATTTTACTTTATCCTTGGCTATCTTACCAGGAGCTTTGCACTGTGGTCTGTAAGCTCTGAATACTTCCATACGTTGCTTTTTTTAAAGCTTTTTTTTTTTTTTTTTTACTTAAGACCATCACTCCTATCTGTAACCTTTGCACTTAGCTCTCCACCCCATCTTGCAGCTTCTCCTCTGCATGCTGGCCCCCAGCCTGTGCCTGATGTGGGGATGCTGAGCATGGCTGCGGGGACACTGGAGATGCTGGACACGGCTGTGGGGATACTGGGTGGGCACACGGCTGTGTGGTTTCCTCTTACCTCTCTCTGCTGGAGGTTGTTTTCCTTCCTGCTGGGAGGCTCCGTGGAGACTTGGTCCGAGTGCCGTGGATGTCGGCTCTCTCCTGGGTGGGGACCGTGGTGTAGGAGGGATGAATGTGTTGGCGTTTTCAGGGAGGGTAATGCTATTCAGAACAGCTGTTGGGATGATTTTTTTTTTTCTACAGTGTGTTGATAATGGGGCCAGATTTGCTTATGCTTATTTCTCTCACAAACTCTACACAGCTGTGACCACAGCTGGCTCCGCAGGGTGTATTTATGCTTTGGGAGTCCTGCTCTGTGGCTGGGCCAACCAGCCAAAAACCCTCATAGCACAAGAGTGCCTGTGAGGAGGTAGAGCTGGGCGTTGGGGCCCTGTACTGGCTCCGGAGGGACCCAAGGAGTGGTGCAAACCAGTGTGGGGGCTGGTTCATGGAGGGAAATGGTGTCCCTTTTCCAGCAGCCCAGGGCAGCGCTTGTCGCTGCGGTCCCTGTTCACAGGCGTAACGCACAGCCACTTACATGGGGAGTCCCAGGAAAGGACCAAAAACCCAGAGAGAGTGGTTCCGCACAGCCAGGGCTAGAGCGATTCATGCCAGTGCCTTAATTTGGAAGGTGTTGATCTTTAGAGACGGAAGGAAACTGCCCTGAAATCACCATCCCAGCTGTGTTACGTTTCCCACACTGGCTGCAATGTCCCTGCTTGCAAAACCCTGGGGGGACAGCGGTCCCTCCTCTTCCTCCTCCCCCTCGCTTCCAGCATGGGTGTTTCCCAGCTCTGCTCCTGCACCCCACATCCCATGGGTCACCACATCCCCAGCCACTTCCTCACAGCCATCTGAGGGCCAGAGACCAACCCCCAGCTTCTTCTCCTTCCCCCCCCCCAATTTCTAAAAGCCCCTGGCTAGAAACAGGACCACGAAGTGAGGCGGGAAAACCCTGAAGCCAATGGTAATTTCTGTGTGTGGTGTGAAGGAGAACCTGCCAGGGGAGAGGAGGCCGTGTTTCCTGCCTGGGAAGGGGCAGCGTGGGCACTGGGGTGACCTTGGCTCCTTTCTGCCCCCAG